TCATGTTTCACTTAATTATGGGGACATGATCTGAGAAATGTGTTGTTGGCATTCATTATGCAATCATTGTAGGCATGTGCTTATACAAAATGCCTATATCTTCCACAAACTTCTGGGACCACTATTGAAATATATAGTCTGTTGTGACTCTCTATTATTTGGGTTTAAACCAAAATTTCATCTCTCCCTAAGACGAAATCATAACATTTATAGCTAAATTTATTTATTGCTTATCTTGGCAGCATATAGATAGATGCTCAGCGTATGTTTTGAAAAGGTGAGTTGAGTTCAATAAGTAGCATAAATGTTAACTTAGGGAATTTTGTGTTCAGATACAGGATAAAGACTTTGAAAATATCATGGGACAAGTTAACTGAGTTTTTAAAAACATGTTTTTTATAATTCTGTTTTATGTTTTAAAGACAATTTTTTCTATGTGACAAATTTACCTGTCATTTTTACAGTTAAAATTTGAGTAACTTATTTGAAATAAAGGTCTGTATAGTTTAATAGATTCCTTGTTTTTAGTAGTTTTTTTTTTAATTTGCAGATACTGCTCTTGATTAAGATTTTAGACTTTCTCCCCACTGCTAATATGAGACCAATACCTTACTGAAATGAATCTTTAGGTGTTAGCCAAACTTAAGGACTCCCAGAGGCAATATATTCTTAAGAATATAATGTCAGAATTTATAAGATAGAATTCTGTCAAATCATCTTTGCAAATAAAAGGAGAGAAACATGGCAAAAAATAAAAAGAATTTTTTTTCTTGAACTATTTTGTGTTGTTTTCAAGTGCTTGTCTCTTTGTGTGAATGTGTTGCATGCATCTGTGAATGTACATAGAACAGTATCTAGATCCATTGTGGAAAAACATAGATAATTTTAAAGCCATATATGTCTATTTTTATTCTGGGGTTGAGCGTGGCATTTTGGTCACATTGGCCTAATTAATGCTCTTAATTCAACTCCATTTGTCAGCAGCAGTCCAATAGTGACTTTCACATTGGCCACATCCAATAATAATTTCCATAATAATTTTCATAGGAATTGATGACTTTCATAATCTCAAAACCCTTGTTACTAACATAACGTTCTAGTTTGGGGCAGTGATTTCACCCTCTTGGTATATTAATATGGAGGTTAGCTTATTATTCCCACCATTCAGTAAGCAGGCAAAGCATAGCCCGAAGAGACCCTAGTTAAGATAGCATTTCCTCATGTAGGAGAAGAGAAACAGTTTTCTCCAAGTAATCTCCTATTTCAGTACAAAAAAAAAAAAAAACTTTTGGAGACTATGATATTTCATAATATTTTACTTAGTAATTGATAAGGATGTCATCCCTGATAAATGAGATCAGTTCATTTCCTTTATTTCACATTTACTCTTGTTCCAGACTTTACAAAAAAAGAAACAAATCTTAATGAGCAGCAAACAATCTCATGATTTTCTGAGAACACACCGAATAGGATCTTATTTATGATTAATATTATAAAACACAAACCTTTTGTGTTTTTATTTTCACAGCAGAGAAATGACTAGTTTGATGGAAGAGCACTAGAAGCAGCTTGCTTACATTTATATTATTCCTTGTTTCAGATTGTGATAAAAAGTTAATTGGTGTATGTAAATGCTTAATTAAGTACAATGCCTGGATTTATCATTTACCAATAGCTACAATTATAAGAATTGATTGCAAAAATGTTGAAAAAATAGAATACATATAGAATATTTTCAGAAATAGATAACTTAAAGAATTTTGGGAAATTTCATCTGTCCAAATGTGTGTAGAGCTAAGGCCCTTATTATGGATTGGCTGGCTGTATACATGAGGTATCAGTATCAGAGTGCAAACTTTATTTATTAATTTATTTATTTTAGTTGTTGAAGGACCTTTATTTTATTCATTTATTTATGTGTGGTGCCTAGCATTGAGCCCAGTGGCTCACCCATGCAAGGCAAGCACTCTACTATTGATCCACAAACCCAGCCCACAAACTTAATGCTTTAACATGGTCAGAGTTCCTAATCACTTACCTGATGTCTTCAATCTGTTGTAATTTAGAAAAAGGCTTCTTCAGTTTTGAAATTCTATAAAATTATCATTTTTTACACTCATAGATTGATTTTCTTCAATACACCTTGCTTCTCTAACCTCTGAGATTTACATCTAATTTTTCTCCAGTTGGATATCCATGTATTGCAACCCTTTCATTGCATAAATGTACATGTTCAAACTTTAGTTTCAGAGGTAATAGTGACATCTAATTTCATTGAGTGCTAGCTAAAGGTCTCCTTGATTTTCCTTAGGTTTCTACCAGGAATGAAACAGAGAAAGTGCCCTTGCGTGAATTCCACATGTTGAAGGATAAATGTGATATGCTGAGTCTGGAAATGAACCAAATGAAATGTCAGCATGAGGAAGACAAAAAGAAATATCTTGATGTTTCAAGAGCAGAGTGTCATGACCTTCATAGGAGAATCAAATTAATGGAGGAAACATTTAGGAAAACAACATTGCAATATAATAAACAGATTAATTCTCTGAAAACTGAAATTACAAAGCTAAATGTTAAGCTGAAAAATAAAGAACAAAACACCGAAAGACAGAAAACAGAAGCCAAATCATACCCTGCCAGTCAGGCTGTCGCTCCACACCCTTGTGATGAAAGTCAGACATCACAAAGAGAACAAGAACTTCTTTCCCAGAAAGCAAGAGATGGGTGCCCTTATTTAGAGGACAAGAGTAATTTCAAAATATCAAAACGAAATGTTAGGAGGTTGATTCAGTCCCCAAAGTTTTCCAAGCCTGGAATAAAATTCAGAGACCAAAAAAATAAGGCCTCTGTATTCAAACAAGGCGTGATCTTAGAAAAGTGACTATGGTATTGAACCGAGTACAAAGAGACCTAAAACAAAACCAGTGCCAAATGAATGAAATGAAGCACATGTATCAAAATGAACAGAGTCAAAACTACAAAGAACTGGAAGCTACAGATGAGAGATTATCTCAAATAGAAAGTGAAATTATATTTCTAAGACAGCAGTTCCATGACTTTTGCAACAAAGTTGATGATAAAGAAGGCTTATATGTTTCTACCCAAGAGCAACGGGATACCATAAAACTAATTCAGGAAGAGAATGAAAACTCCACTCACAAGCTACAAAACAGAAGTATGGAGTTAATGAATAGAAATTGTCACTTAAAAGAAAAATCAGATAAATATAAAAAGAACTCTGAGAGAAAAGTAAGCATTAAGCAAAATATATGGATTGTGTTTGAAGGAGAATTCAGTGAAATTTGATGATGGCAAACCTGATTTCCAAACATGAAATGATTCATGTTTGAAGTAATAAATCTGCCAATGATGGTTACACATTGTATATATGTTTTAAAGTAACACACCCTATCTAATGAATAGTAAAATGTGGGCCAATTAAAAGCAAAAAGTTTCCCCTTATGTGAAACGGATTTTAACATTTAAAAATGGAAGAAACATTTAAAGCTTTAGAACTGCAGATGCTTTATTTTGAGTAAAGACATTTTGTATTTACCAGGAATTATTTCTTTACATAGGAATGAAATTTCAAGAGGATAAGTCATAGGTTTTTAGTAGAGATATGCTGATATTAATAATACAGAATTAACATTGCTGAAACAATATCTGTTTTTGCTGTTGGAGATGGAATCCATGGTCTTGTGCATTCTATGCCCATGTTCTTACACCAGGCCTACACTCCAGCCCTCAATACTAACTTGAAAGTCTTCATGTTGCCATACTTTTTAAGACCATGATGAAACAGATAAATGGGAATGCTCATATCTGGATTAAATTAACTGGGTTACTTTAATAATCCATTCCAAGTTTCCAAGCTGAAGTGAAATGTAGATGATATAGTTTTTAATAGACTTCCTTCACTATCACTTTATACATTTCTGATAATTTGATTTTATTCACATAAAATAATTGGCTCATTTTTTTTTATTCTCATCTCCTTCCAACACTATAAAGACTCTACTATCATTAATATAATTTGGGACAAATGCAATGCATTGCAGCAAAACTGATGTGGATTTAATTTTCCTGCTGACTCTGGAATTTATTGCCTATCTTCACAGATAACTTGCTAATACTTTTCATTTCAAGCTTCAATTGCTATCATGTAACAGATAGGAACTAATCTAGTACAAAGATAATTGCAGCTCCATGATTCATTAATTTGGCATTAAATTCCCATTTTCAACAAAGTAATTTAAATTCCCATTTAAACAAGTAGATTTTTGTACAGTGAGAATGGGGTGAAGAGGGGAGAGAGTTGAAGGAGTTGAAGAGAGTGAAGAAGGTAAAGGTCAGGTTGAGTGGGACCTCACTTTTTCAGGAGGTGGGAATCTATTGGATTCACACAGAGGATTGAATATGGTTAGAGCTCAGTTTTTTAGTTGAGCCTCTGTTAAAAAAAGGATGATTTTCTGTACAGTTTTCACTACTCCTAGCAGACCTGCATAACCATTTCTGTTTGAGAATTCGGCAGGTTGTGATGCATTTCATCAAATGTGAAGTGGATACAGGGCTGAATCTATTGTCTAAGGGATATGATAGTAACTAGGCAGGAAGAAAGCACCTTCCGTGTCCTTGTTAGAATTAATAAATAAACAGAATTTACACATGAGGAAAAGAAGATGAATTAATGATAATATTTCAGTTTTAAACATTATTAACAAAAAGTGAAGTTATTTACAAAATCTTTAATAGCCATATCTCCTCAGGTAGCTGTGAGACAACTTCCACAAGAACTGGCTGGTAACCTGACAGAGCAACCTATGTCAGAGGCTTCACTAGAACATCCATCCAGTAATCACCTTGAAGTAGAATATAAGGCACAGGTTTTGAAGAAGAAACTAGATCAAATCAATTGTAAAGTATGTACTAATTGTATTTGTCAACCATTGATCTGCACCTGTTTCAATTATGTTAAATGTTTAAGGATAAAAAAGTCAGTGGACAGTGTTATTTGTATTTTTATTATAATTAATTTTATTACACTTTCTTTATAGTGTATTTTTTATAAATCCTGAGTTTTATTTTTACATTTTTTGTAATATCATGCATGTTTTCTCACTTGCAATCCAGTGACTTGGAAGACTAAGGCAGGAAGATCACAAGTTTAAGGCCAGTCTCAGCAACTTACTAAGGCCCTAAGCAACTTAGCAAGTCCCTGTCTCAAAAAGAAGTGGGGATATAGCTTAGTGGTAAAGCACTCCTGGGTTGAATCAGTGGTTTAAAAAAAAAAACTACTTAACTACCCTCAGGAATGCTGAGAATTGTACATCAATCCTCACATGTGTTTTTTTTTTTTCCGTTAACTAGGATTTTTTTAGTGCTACCTCCATTGCCATGGTGTAGCCATGCAGATTAAATCAGAGAATACAATTTCATGGAATGTTCCAGGGAATTGAGTTATTTCATACCTTCATTTCATTTCTAGAAAACTTGCACAGAAAGGCTATTATGCTTTTCTCAAATTTCAGGTGAATTTTAAAATAATGGGAAAACAGTGTTTTTAAAAAATTTAAACAGATCATAAAGGCATACAAATGTTTCCATCATGTCTGGTACCTCTATCCAAAACAGAGAGTGTAGATCTTTGAAAAGGCAAACTTACTGGGATTGGTTGGACAAATTTGTGCTCAAATATTCTCAAGATGCTTCTTTTATTATGAAACAGTGTTGTTTTATTCATGCAGGTCGATAATCTCAATATAAAACTAGAAGCTACAGCTTCAAAATATTCACATTTGGATGAACAATTTGAACTTGCTTTGGAAAGGCTACAATATACATGTGAAAAAATACAGATCAAAAGAAGTTGGAAGAAGATGTAGCAAACCTCAAAATTTATGTGCAGGACAATAAAATAAAAAATGGTCAAGGAGAGCCTCATAGATGGGAGATTGAACAAAGAACAAGAGAGATTTTAGAGGAAAACCAAAAACAAGCATCTCCATTTTCAGAGGTTATTTTATTTATCTGTAATGTGTTTTAATTAATTTCACTGAAAATGTTATTTTGGAAATTTCCATTTTATGGGGGTCATCTACATTCCTTGAGAAAACTTCTTTTATAGATTTTTCAGAGTAAGATGGCATTTTTAAATATCTCATTTTCCCATCATTGTAAAAACTGACTTCATCTTTCAGAAAAAAATGACTTTATCAGAAAACCATTCAATATTTAAGGGTAGTTGTATTAATAAGAAAATTAGCAGGAAACAAAAAAAATGTGAAGTCAGAGTGTACCATTCTCCTGATTTTTTTCAATTATTAAATGATTTTATACTTTCTTATTTTTCACATTACTGATGCTAACATGAGAATGATTCATGGCTGAGGTCCTACTTCAGTGGTAGTTTGTGTAGCCTTTGCAAGGCCCTGGGTTCCAACCCCAAAGAATAGGAAAAAAAAAAAAAGCAATTGACTTTGATGATAAAACTCCACCATCTTTTGTCCACGTGTTTAAAATTGCTCTCTGAGTTATTGATTCTAAATTAAAGTAAAAAAATATACAAATAATTATTTGGGTAATAATTATTTTAAAAAATATGTCATTTACAGCTGGAGTACCTAGCACATGTGAGGCAGAGGGTTCAATCCTCAGCACCATATAAAATTAAAATAAACATATTGTCTTCATCTACTATAAAAATATTTTTAAATATGTACTTTCAATTTCCTTTAGACATTTAATAGAGCTTCAAATGAAAATAATAAGGTTTCATTAATGAAGTTGATGCAATTCAGAATTGAAAAGCTAGAATCTCAAGTGTCTTAAATTAAAAATGAAATTTCTGATAAAACACCAAGGTAAGAATATAAGGAACTCTGTGTAGAAGAACACAAAATCCAGAAGTATGTCCACATGTACACCCACAGAAAATAGCTTAATCTCCTTAATTTGTCTCCAATGCATAACTTTTAGTGAGAAAGGAATATGAGATTAGTAGGATGCAAAATCTAATCAGACAATACAATTTTCAGAAGCAATTTTATTAAATGAACTTACTTTTGAAATATTGGTCCAGGAAGTTTATATCTCACACTTTTTTGTGTCTGTATGGCTTTCTCTCCTATTTTCTATTTCTACCAGACTTTCACCTCAGCACTTTTGAAGCTTTGTAATTCAGACAGTTACATTGTGACCAAGTTACTTACAGGCCTTTCTTTACATAGAAGAGTAAAAATTTAATTATTGGTTGAAAGTGTTTAACTTAAACCCTAAGTATACTGGATTACTAGTTCTACTCTCTTAGCACATTCTGATACTCGGTAAACTAACCATTTTTTATTGTGACACTTGATTTTACCCCAGATGTTACCTAGAGACAAATGACCTTTGCAGTGTTTCCTCTCTACGTAAGGTCTACTTTTGATACAGGGAGAGAATATCACAGGGCTCAAAGGAAGTTTACTTTGCAATGAGGTTAAAAATAATTCCATGGTCAGTGTTGGGGGTATTAAAATGAGAATTGACAGGTCCCACCTCTGATATCTCAGCAACAAAATTATGAGCTGATTGTCTTGAATTCTTAATCATCAACTCAGCTATCTTGTTTTGTCCCTGTGGTTGTTGCTGTGAATTATTTCTCAGTGCTCAATGCTTGATTTCTCCAGGTGATAGTTAGAATATGTAGATGGTGAGAGCAAATGCTTGAAAATCTCTTTAAGGGATGGTTTCTAAATTCTTCAGTTGGTCTAATAATACAAGTATTTCTAGTTTAGCTTCACTCTTATTTTCTAGTTGTATATGTTTAAGGAGTACATGATGCTTTAATACAATTTAGCAGAGTAAAATGTCTTTATAGTCAAATAAACTAAGGTATCCATCATCTCCCATGGTTACTGTTTAAATACCAGTATTTCTAATGGTGTCCTCAAGAAACCCTGAAGGAGAGCCTTTCGAGAAGGGAGAAGTGTTACCCTTTAAGTCACACATCTCTGCCTGCCATTACTCTCCACATGTATTATTTGAATTTCTTGTTAGGAGGCCCCAAGAAATATGGATATATCTCCAGAACTCTTTAAAACCTATAATATGCCCTACTCTATTTTGATGAATTTTTCAATGTTAAGATTCTTTTCACTGAGAAATTCTATTTATTCCTATGGCATTTTTTTAATGCAAGTGGTTTTGGAGGAAAAAAAATGAAATACCAAGAATTTGCCTTTTGAAATCCTCACAGAATCAGTAAGAGGCTTCCAGAAGTTAGTAGCAGATTCTCAGTGAAAACACAGAGAGGTTGTTTACCCTGTGCTCACTGTGGGAGGCCAGTCCCAGGGTGTCCTTGTGTCAGACTTAAAAGGGACAACTGGGTAAGTTTTAACCTGGGAGAAAACATAGCAGATGCTACTTCCAACCCACAACCTTCATGTCAAACCCTTGAGGACTATCTGGCTGAGGTGAGTTATGCTTTGTTTATCTTTTGGGTTTCAGATTTCTGATTTGTCTTGTTTTGACTTTGTTGAAATACTGAGTTGTTTAGTTGACTTAGGAATATTAACTGAAGGTCATGATAATCTATAACTATAATGAATTACAAACAGATTTTCAATTTTTATAAAGTATCTGGAGGTCTTATTTTTAGAAGACACTTGTTAACTTTATTCAAGTTGAATGATATTTTTAACTGTCCTTTAACTTAAAGTAGATTTTTAGATTAAATTGAATATTTGAAATGAATAAACCTTGGTTTAGAGCTCTGAAGGAGTTTTCATGCTCTTCTTAACTCACAGAAAAATAGTGCAGGTCTATGTTAAATCAGGCCTCAATCTGATGATTTCTTTTGCCTTTGCATTCTAGTGAAATCAAGAGAAGAGCAAATCTAAGATTTATAAAAATCCATGTAGTAAAAGGTGCTGAAATGGGGAACAAATTACATAATTTATGTAATTATAAGATCCTAGCTAGCTGATATTTTTTTGTTCATCAGCTTGTTGGCTTACATACATATTTTTCTGAAAAAAAAACCAAAAAACTGAAAGGCCCAGGATTGAAGTCTCTCTCAACCATGACATTGGAACATTATGCACCAAAAAAAATTGTGAAATATTTCTGTAAATTGTTAAAGATGATATGAATACAAGATGTCTCATTCGTTCATACCAGAAAATATCAGGCAGTGTATCATTTAATAAGACATTGATGAATGAATGTGTAAATGGAGACACAATGCAAAGGAATATTTTGGGGGGAGGAGAACATTTTCCATTAATTTTCCTGGGAGAAAGACATGTTTATTTTTTAGTGCTTAAAAATAGGTTGAAGAATACTTGAAAGTTACTCTAGTACTTCCTCTAGATATCCTTGCAGAGCATTAGTTTGCCAATGCAGGCAGACTTTAACAGGAGTAAAAAAGCACTGTTCTATCAAGATGCAAAGTCAGGTCTCTGTCATCCCTGCAGAATGCCTTCCATGGGGAAAGGAGGAGAGGGAAAGGAAAGATACTGAGGAAGAAGGTTGATCAAATTATTTTATCTGCATGGTTTACTATGTCATTATACATTCCACTAATATCTATGACTATAATTCACCCAAAGTTAGTATTCAAGTCATTTCATTTTGAAAATGAGAAGAGAAGCCGGAGAACCCTGTCAGTCCAATTACTTACCTTCACATTTAAACTGTATAAAGGCTTTGGACATCACAGTATTTTTATCACCTCAAAGTACTTAGTATGTTCAGTATTCTCTTACTTTTTGGACCTTGTTTGAGGAATCAGTAAGAGAATAGGGTTTTTATGAAGAACAGTCTAGATGGGGCACAGTTTGAAGCTTTTCCACATGTTTGTAAACACATAAGTGTAATTAGCAAAATGTTTCAAAAACTTTGGTCCCAAATCCAGGGAAGAAATCAGTTACAGTTAAACAGCTACATATTGTTTACAAATCTGGAAAGTCACAAATCAAAGAAACATAAGTTTAAACTGGCTCAAAGTAATATTTATACTGCATGTGCATGTGTGTGTGTGTGTGTGTGTGTGTGTGTTTATAGTGATTGAACTCAGGGATGCTCTACCCCACCCCCAGCAACATCCCTACTCCTTTATAATTTTTGTTTTGTGACTAGCCTCAAACTTGCCATCCTCCTGCTTCAGCCTCCTGGGTCACTGGGAATTACAGGCATGTGCCATATAGCACGTGGCATTATTCTGTCTCTCAACAGAATTTTCTGGAATCTTTGTGTACCATGTTAATAAAAGATGTTTAGTCATATTCCACATAACAGTATTTTGAAACTTTGACCAGATTTTCACATGAGGCTATGATAATACCTCTTTCTTCACATATGTATTTAATTTAATGGGCTGAAAATTTGATAGCATTGAGAAGATGTTAAAAGTTTAATTTTCTGAAAGTAGATAATGGAAAATTTATTTTAAGGAAAATGACATTGAAGTGAAAAATTTGATAAGAAGTTTCTAAAGGGCAGAGTTTTGCTAAGAATCAAAATTGCCATCTAAAAATAGGAGTCGAATTGTTGCCCTTTAGTTAGCTAAAGCAGCATCATCTGAAATGACTTACATTTAATAGACCAGTGTGGACTCGGAAGTTTAACAGCATTGTACATACATATTCTCTATATAAACTTAAAATAAGTGGACTTTTATTTTGTTTGTGTGATTATTTTAAGCCATCTTCAACTTAGTTCTATTCCCTTAAAGTTCTTTTGAAAAAGCTACATTTTCTAAGTAATGTATCACATTCATGATAATCTCTGTTTAAACTAAGCAATGTAAATAATAATTGCCTTATTTCAGATGAATGAGAAGTTGGCCAGAGGCCTTATCTAGAAAAGCTAATGCAGGTATGTTGCCAAACTATGGTTGAATTTGGATTTATTAGTGGATTTCTGAAAAACACAATACACAGCAGATGGCATGGCTTTCCTTGGATTGGTGAATAGATTTCTACATGAATTGAATTGCTTTTCTTAAAAACAAACATCAAATGAAAATTTTGGAAGAAAAATACCAAAAAAAAAAATAAACTCATTTATCATTTACTCACATTCATGGCCTGTAAAGGCTCAGACTCTCTGTACATACCTTTTTCTGGATTGACTCTCTTTTTCACTTCTGCCACCACTATGAAAACAAAGGCATCACCCACTTCTATCTGGTTGTGGCCAAAACCCAGACTCATCTAGGAACACTTGGCCAAGCATTTCAAATGCCTTGACATTGACTTTGTCATTGGTTTTGCTCTCAAGAAAAGTTCCAGCTTTCCTAGCAAGGAATTCAGATATCCAAACCAATTGAATGCTCATCAGGTCCTTCAGCTTATCTCTTGCACACACCCTACACTGCCCCTCTGCCCTAGCTTCAAGTCACACTGTGATACTTGTATTCCTCACCTCTCACTCTTTGCAGGCACCTCTTCTCTCTCTCTGTCATACTTCCTTTTTATCCTTCAGGTATCACCTCAACCCAAAAACTATACTATTGACCTAAAATGGGGACAGAAGTCACTTCTGTGTTCCAATAGTGCTTTTGTTTTATACCTCTTATAGCACCCACCACTCTAAGGAAGTATCCTGTCCTTGTGTTTTTAAACTTAGGGGGTCTGATTGGTGACAAGATGAAGATGATGATGGCTTTCTTCATCT